GCCATCTTCCTTTGCAGAAAAGGCAAAGCTGGGAGCAAGAGAACCCTACACCTGCCTACAAGGGAAGTATCAAACAATAAGAAACACTTTATTTTAACTTTACAACATATAAATAGACAAATCTGTGCTTTCCAATGTAGCTTTTCTTCCCCTCCCCTACCCAGGGTCCTTGTTGCAGTGCCCCAGCCCCTCTGAACTCTGAGAGAAGAGAGCGAGTGGGGCTGAACTGCAGAGGCTAGACAGATCCTGTATGTACAAATCCAGCAGGCATCACACCCTCCCCAGCTGTCATCTGCTCAGGTCCCGGCTGGCGCCTCGACCGCACAGCATCCTTTCCTCTGCAGAGAGGCCAGCAAAGAAGGGATGCAGGAGGGCTTCCGAGAACGTGATCCTCCGGGAAGGGTCGAATTCTAACATCCTCCTCATCAAGTCAAAGAGCTGTGCGTGCTCCAGCGAGTCGTGCAGCATGTATGTCTGAAAGAGAAGGGTGGGGGGGGAGAGAGGGGTGTAGCACTCCGGTATGACAGGGACTGACAGGCCCTCGTTTTGTGAGGTACAGTGAGGTAATGGCTGTCTCCCATCCTGAAGTACAGTGTTCCTCTGGCCCTTGCACTGCCTGAATTCCCTAGTACCTGTCCTGCTTCAGCCAGACCAATAAACTTCCATTTCTGCAGATAAGAGTTTGGGGCTCTGTAAAAGCCAGTTACTAAGGGAAATTCCCATCCTTCAGCCCCGCGCCGCTGATCTGGGGAAGGGAAGGGCACAGCAGTTCAGCCTCGCAACGCAGCCAGCCCTCCACCAGCTGTGGAGCGGCACCTACCCGCAGGGGCTTGCAGTTCTCTTGGACGTATCTCCCATCGGACGTGTTCTCATCCCATACCAGGTTCCCATTGTGGAAATATTTTTGCTTCCTGCAAAGGAAAGGTGGTGTTCAGTAAGGCTACTCGTGGGACACACTTCCAGCACATCTCCCATGGTTATAGCTGTATAGGTGAGACCCAGTGTGAGGACAGAGAATTGGTATCCTGAGTAATCGGGCACAGTTGACTGGACTGAGTTCAGGAACAGGTTCTTACCGAGTTTTGTGGATCATGTGAGATGGAATTGGCCCGAGGATCTTTTCCATCATGACAAGATGCTCACGATTCTCATGGGTCTGCAAAAGAAAAGAGCAACGGTGCATTAATTCAGAACTTGGAGATCTGATGACAAAAGGTCTGTCCCCTATACAAGCACAGGGGGAAGAGACAAGCCTCCGACAGGAATGATGCAGCTCCTGTCCACCTCTACTTGCTCTCTTGATTTTTCTATTCTTCACAGGCACAGTGAAGAAACCAGAAGTGATCTGAGCCTTGTCCTTCCAGCAAGGCACAACTCCTCAAACTGTGAGTTTTCCTGGGCTTATTTTCAAACTCAGCTTCTGATTTTTAGTGCCTGATCCGCGTTTCCCTTTCCTTCACATTAAGGATTCTTAGGGTATGATGCCTCTTGCAAGAATCATACCTGGAAGTTAATACTCAAACAGAATGCAGCCGGTACTCCAGACGTCGCACGGCTGCGCCCAGCCCAGCTCTGCAAAGAGAATCAAGTTAACTTTGCGCTCCCAACAAGTCCCACCAGATTTCTACTAATTCGTTGTTGAAACTGCAGGGATTACACAAAGACAGATCTAGAAGTTATCTCTGCACTTTCCGGTGCTGCACAACTGGCAAGAGGACTGTCAAGTCTCCCCCAGATGCTTCTGTTTCAGCTTATGCTGACTTTGCATTCCCCTGGAGCCAGTCTGAGCACTTCCCGAGTCTCAGGGGCGTTCCTCAGCTCTCTGCACTCCATGTCAAGGGCCTGCACTATCCATTAATACCCTCCATACAATCAGGGCCTTGGGACCACTGAGGTGGTGTCGCAGCAATGCATGGAACAGGTTGTTCCCAAGAACTGGAGTGCCCTCAAGCTGGTTTTCCTCTAGACAGCATCTTCCTACAGCATCCCTGGGACAACCGTTCTCCTCCTCCCGTCTGAGACTCCCAAAACCCCAGCAGTACTCACCCAGAATCACTTCTGGTGGACGGTAGTGCCGGGTAGCCACGATAGTGGTGTGGTGCTCGTGATCGAAGGTGGCACTTCCAAAGTCTGCCACACGAATGCTCGTGTTCCGAATGGATTTCTCCTCACAGCTCTGCAAGCAAACAAGAAGTCCTCAGTGCTTCTAATAGCTGGTTCAGGATTAACCTAAGCTTTGAGAGGAGCCCTCTGACCCCAGAACTGCCAGGTCTGCACTACTAATCAGAAGGATTGTAACTGTGAAGCTCTGAGCTCTTTACGTCTCAGATCAGTGTTAAGGAAAGCCACTGAACACTCCACTTCATGGACTGGAGCCACTGAAGCAGTCTTAAGGCTTTTAGAAGACACGGGAGAAAGAAGAGGCCCGACTTCCAGTTTGTTCCCACTAAACAGACTTTTAAGGCCCTGTGGGGCATGTACGGAACAGGGAAGATCCAATTTCTGCAGGGAGGGAAAGGCAGGCTATTCCTGGTCTATTCACTTCTCTTTTAGACATAACCCACCTTTTTCTCGTTGTACAGAGTGTCAAAATCTGAGTTGACAAACAAGATGTTTTCTGGTTTGAGGTCAGTGTGCGTCAGCTGGTTGTCATGTAAAACTGCACAGGTGGTGAAGAGAAGAGAGAAAAAATATATATAAGAACAACACAGTGAAGCACCCATGCAACTCTGCCCATCTCAGCTCCCTCCCGACCCATTCTGGTGAGACATCGTCGCCTAGGAAGGCGGGTGACTTACATCTCAAGGCATGGCAGAGCTGGTAGGCCATGTGCCGGATCTGAGGGAGAGGGTATGGCTGGAAGTTATTCTCCTTCAGGAACTCGAAAGTGTTCTTGCCCAGAAGCTCAAAGGCAATGCACATGTGGCCATGAAAGTTGAACCAGTCTGACATGAGGACACACAAGCTGTGCAGAGAGAAAGGCATGAAGACTAACCATCATGCAGGGACTCGGCAGAACAGTCATTCACCCTGTTTCTGGCTACTTCAGAAGCGGTTGGTGAGCAAAAACTCTGAACCAGCTGACTCAAAAGCACAGTAATCCCTCTATGTCCACCAGAGAGACACCCCATCACCACTTTCCTCAACCACCTTTAGATAGAGATCTCCAGTTCAAGTGGGACAAGGCAGCAGGGGGTTGTTAGAAAAGTTTTGGTTAATTCTTCCTCACTATGACCTGGCATGTCAGTTGTTAAGGAGTTTTAGGTAAACAAGTGTTCAGTAGAACTAGAGACAGACTCTCTTCTTCCAAAATGCAGAGGAAGGAGACAGGTTTTCCCCCACACAGGAGGCAATTAGCAGGTATTTCAGTCCTCAGCCCCATGTTTCTTTGGATATCGCCCAAGCAGACCGCCTGTCTGCAAGGACATGGTACTGACTACCCAGGAGTCTTGTAGGAACTTACAATTTGTTCTCCTTGTCCTTCTCTTTGATTTTTTTCAAGACGTTAATTTCCAGCCTGGCTGCTTCTCGGTACTTTCCAACATTTTTTATGATTTTCAGCGCCACCTGAGATTTGCCTCTGTAAGGGAAGAGACGGATGGAGTCAGAGAAAAAGCCTATGTACACACGTCCTCAGTCCACAGAGAGAGGGCACGTCCCAGTTACTCCAGTCATGTTTTCATGTGTTAAGAGGCTTAGTCATTGCTGGGTCCCAACAAAGCTCTCGAGGTCTGCCAAAGATTTATGCTGCTTGACCAGAAGTTAAGTACCCACATGGAAATTTGAAGCGAAAGGCTATTGCTGGGAACACTCCAAAGAGAGCTGCAGACAGCTCTGCAAGCACACCGTTTCCTGACACAGCAGTCCGTAAGGTCACTGCGCCTCCAGCAGCCACCTCCCCTCTCCAACCGTGCCAGAGAGATTTCTGAGGAGGCAGGAGATCCCAGCGGCTCCTACGCTAAGCTGACCCTATGGCTCAGAGCCAGACAAAAGGTCAGGAAAAGACAGGGGTCAAGTGTAATCGCAGGAGAGGTTAAAAAAAACAGAGAGAAGTACCCCAGCAGATTAAGAGGTCACTTTCCCCAGCTGCCTGGCCCATCCCTCAGCCAGAGTTTGCTGCTTTTGCAGTAGGGCAGTAGAACAGCCTGTGCCGAAGCCCTCAGCCACTGAACGAACTCCCCTATTTCTCTTAACACATCAGTCTGCAGACTTGGAGGGGCTGAGGTGTGAACCAGGCCCCTTTCCACTTGCTATAAGAAATAATTTTCACCATAGTGACAAGTGGAAGGTGACAACAACAGTTCAGTCCAGCAGAGTCCAGGCGCATGCAAAACTGGCAGCGTTAATCCTGCTACGCTTGTGAGCATCTGGGCTTGATGCACAAGGGACGGACAAGTCGTCTGGAAAGGAAAGAAGCCCACCTGGCATGGTCCACACACTCCACCACTTTGCCAAAAGTGCCTTCGCCAAGGCTGCCGACAATTTCATCTAGGAGAGAAAACAGGAGTGGACGTGAACCTCAGAGGCTTGGCAAGAGCTGAGGTCCTGCAATTTCACAGCAATAAAATGTCTCTCACTGCTACACTCTTTAAAACTCAAGTGTCTATTGTCTGCCTCAGGCAATTTACTGGTCAGTCCATTTATAAGCAATAAAACACTAGAGACCCCTCCAGTACAATACGAGAGATCTCGTCTAACATGGGGATAGAAAGTAGAGAGGTAAAGTTTTACGAAAGGTGGCTGTACATCGCTCTTGAAGCCAATCGCCGATCCTGCACACCAGGTGGCCTTCCTTGTCATCTTCCACGCTCCTGCTGCGCTTACTGCTCTGTTGGCTTCTCTGTACGCACCGCCCCCCGAAACGGCATACGACCAAGCGCGCACAGCGGGCAGTTCCGAGTGGCAGGATTGTGTTGTCATTCAAAGGTGGAGATGACGGTGCGTCGGTGGTTGGATTTTCCAGATCCCAGCATTTCATAAGGCACACAGCATATATAACGATAGGGATATTGCAAGGGACACGTCAAGACACAAACTAACTTCAAAACAGAAAAGTAATCAACAGCTACAGGTATGTAAAGAAAACTCTCTCATTAGCTACGGCCTCTGGTGCCGCCGCCTCTTAGGCAGGAAAATGCCCCCCTCTTCTCTGAAGGGAAGCAGCAGCTGGGAAGCTTCAGTGTTAAGGTGGCTTGGCTTGGCACCACCGTTCCCCACAGAGGAGCAGCTTCCTCCACAGCACCGGAGGATGCTGCCAGAGGCACAAGAAGAAGGAGGGCTTTGCCAGAAGAACGTCATTTTCTCCGCTGGCAAACGTGACGAAGGGTATACAAGCTGTCAGTTTGGACAAGCTGTCCAGTAGAAGCCAGAGTAGCAGTTCTCCCTCTGTGTAGCCTGCTCTTTAGCACCTCGGTTAATAGATCGCCAGCTACCCAGAGCCATGTCCTGCCCCGGCTACGAACCAGCCCTTCCCTTCTTGACAGATCCAGCTACCACACTGATCCTAAATCCACACGCCCGACTGGCTGCAAACAGACCTGGTGTTGCACATTGGCCTTAGGATGCAATTTTAAGCCTGGGAGAACTGTAGGAACAGGGCAGTTAAATTAATCCCCAGGGAGCATTTCACTCTGCTTCAGGCATCCACTAAAGGTATGAGGTCACATTCACCCCTGCTACTGCTAGCTTCTACTGGAAAACCAGCCGAACGTTCCCGAAAGGACCCAAGGTCCACAAAGCAAGCTGCCCTAATTCCTGATCTTTTTCTATTTAGCCTTAAAAATAGTTACAGTCTCTACAGCCAAAGAAATTAATACAAAGCTCTAGATTTCCATGCCCGAGCTTCTGTCAGGCTTCTCTTCTGTTGCCCCTCACCCCCCAGCTAGTCCAAAATAGTGAGCTACGATCAAACCCCCAAAGGTCAGCTGAAACGGAGGAGAAGGTAGAGAGGACAGTTGAGACAGCTGTGAGACTTCAAAGGACTTAGATCACGCCAGCCCAAACCTGCACACGGTTATCACCGCAGGCACACACGCAAACCGCACTGGAGTGTTTTCATCATAACCCTGGCTCTTTCTAAAACTAAAATTAAAAAGTCAACTGGAAAGAAATAAAAGGAGGAAAGCAACAGACCGTCAGAAGTTCCCAGCCATGCAGATATCCACTGTAACTGCAGGGATCAGGACTCGGTCATTTAGTCGTAATAACATTTAAAGCAACAAACTTGTGAAAGATGGAAACGTTCCTTACAGGAGAGAAGCAGTGAAGCAGAGACATTTGGTCTGATACCTCACAACACTTCCAGGGTATTCCCGGTCCCAGGACCAGCCTCCCCACCCAGTTCCAAATATTCCCTATTAATCCTTGAAAGGAATACTACATTTCAGGGTGGAAAACGGGGCAGTTTTCAAAGAAGCTGAAATCCAAGGACACTTGGAAATAGGCGAAGAGGACACGTGCATATCCTCAGAAGGTGGAAGCCTTTCTCTAAGTACAGCGGGGCAGGGGTTAATAACCAGAGGGCCAACAGCTCGGGAGAACCAGGCTGATTGATCCCATCTGGTCCGGGATCCTGGCACAAAGTCAAACTGACATGCCTTCGCAGGAGCGCTCCGTACCACCGCTGCATACCAGACCCCCCCAGCAGCAGCAGTATGCAGAAGCAAAGCCCCGGCCAGGGATAAACCTGAACAATGACCGATCCCCAGCAGCCAGGCTGGCCTGCGGCCAAGGCTCGCCCTTGTCAGCCTATCACGTGTGTGCCATTTGAAGCTTTCCCTGATCCCCTCCCCGGCCGTAAAGAATACAGCTTGGTCTCCTCACGTATTAAGGCTACAGGGGCTGGACTAGTAAAAAACGATAGCTACAAACGCTTCCTGCTTAACAAGACACAGATTTTGGACTATACATTCCACGTAATGAAAACAAACACAAAAATGGGATTAGAGGTACTCACCCAGAGTGTTCAGAGCTGAAAGGAGGTAAGAACGGTTAAAACCCTGAACAATCCTGAACTCATTCTGGATGCTACTCACCGAGGAGGCACTGCTACAAGACCTGGTCCTGCGTTTCCGGCAGTGATGCTGATGCTTCTTCGGACGGTGCTGCTCTCTGCCTCTGGATCGCCGCCAGTTTCGCGAGCGGGTCGAGTAATAGTCCTCTCCAAAAGAAGGGCTTCGGTCTTCAAATCTGTAGGCGTCACTGTCCCGTCTGTATCTCCTGTGATAAGGCATCCTGTCATGGCTGTAGCATAAACAAGAATGCATTTATAAGCCTGGAAAAGCACGAAAGGCAGAGTCCCACTGAAACAAAGTGCTCTTGCTCCCACTCCCTGGTGGCAGGGAAACAACAGCAAGTATCCTAGCTTCGCCCCTCCACTGTGGCTCAAACGCTGACTGCTTCTCAGCCAAGTTTCTCAGATAAGAAAACGGAGAAAGTTTGCAAGAGAAAATGGTGTGGCGCTCCCACGTTTCAAGGAGCCGGGGGGAAACCACCCACTTAGAGCTCAATCTGAGCTGCCTACTTCATCTGAGCCACCTCCACCACCATACGCAAGTGTTTTTCTAACATCATTTCTCCTCCCCCAGGAAGGACTCTCATTAGTTCTTGAGCAAACGAGAACTGAAGGCAGCAGTGGTGCCCTAGCCACCACCCCAGTGGGGACTGGAGTCCTCTAAACACCAAGCCTTCGCTGTACACACGCACACCAGCTCAACGGATCGTTAGCAAGAGCCAGAAGGAAAATTTGGTCTCCGCAGTATAGTCAAGCTCCCGCACCTCTAGTGACAACCGAGGGCTGCCAATATGTAAGGGAAGCTTTCAGCCAAGCTCATCTCGGCATCGGGAAGGGCCAGAAGACTCAGACAAAGCTCCCCTGTGCGAGTGTTTACAAGCTGACGTCGCACACGCAGTTTTAGGTACTGTGTGTGCACATTAATGATGACAGCAGCTCTCCCTGCCCCACGCTCCGTAAGAGAGTATCTGCGAGCTGCAAGTGCCTCAAGCTAGAGCTGCGATTCCGAAACTCCTGCCTTTTGCTCTGCGGGTCCCACGTGCTTCCTTGGCAGCACTGTTACGGTACCTCTTTTAAACTGGACAGCAAAAATGGTATCACGTAGCAATGGCCTGCCTGCACCCCCAAAAGCACGACCGTCTTCTCCACCCCAGCCGTTACAGTTGGTCTAATAAACCAGCTTCCGCTACAAGCCTTGCTTCACACGGGATTGAGCGAGAAGCCATGTTTTAGGTAGAAGATGTGGCAACTCAGAAATACGAACAGCGTGTTGGCTTTCCAATGATAAACAGTAGTACTTTGGGCAAACATCTGGCCAGGTCGATGCTGTCGTATGTACCTAGCTGACAGCAAGAGCAACGGCTTCTCCAACCAAGACCTTGCTGCGGCTGCTTCAGTCCGGAAACAGGAACTTTTGTTGTTTGTGCCTCTCTGCTTTGGAAACAATTAGCTCTCTTGCTGACAGCTTAACGGGATGCAGGTATGCGTGTGGTGGTTCATCTCATCTTGGATCAAGACTAAAATTTCAAACCGCCTGCCAAGACAGCAGTGGCTCTCGGTCACCGCTGAACTATCCAAAACACGAAAAAACCCCAACGGCTCCATTCCCATACCGATACTCAACTCCAAACACACCTTTGTGAAACTTCAATGCGTACTTTTAAGATACAGAGGATTCAGAAATAACAACCTAAAATACAGAGGAAACCAGTGAACCTGCGAGAGGCTCACAGTCTGAGACTAAAGGGGCAAGAAGGTTTTCACCTAGCAAAACCCTGTTTTCATCCAAATCTGTCCTACATAACCCATCAGATGAAAGAATGGAAAAGCCTATTGTGTGCGTCAGCTGTATTTCACAATCCGCTTCCTTCAAGTAAACAAAAGCCAGGCTCGGACGAGAAATTAATGTGGAGAACATTTCAGGAATTTAAAGATGAACTCAGCTCCCTTCTGGCTGCACCTGCCCTGTTCAACCAGCGGAACCGCACCAGCTCCGGTACCACCGAGCAGCGAGGACCACCAGCCTATTTCGGTCGCGCACCGCGACGTGTCAGCACGTGGCTCCCCATCAGCGTTCCTGCCTCTCTTCCAGAAGCCTCGCCGCAGCTCCTGTTATCAGAGGCCTTATCCACCCCGCTTCCAGTACCTAATTGTCCCTGTGGAAACGCTGAACAAAGAGAGGATCAAAGGTAAAATCCAGAGCCGAAGCAGGAAAGATCAGTTAGCGATGCTCAGATCCTTTCTGATGGCATAAGTGAGGGAAAAGCATCGTTACTTTAAATCTGATTTGTAATAATTTCAGAAGGAAACGGGTTGTCGGGAGAGAAAGACTTTAGTGCCTCCACAGCATTAGAACTGGGAAACGTGACTCCAGGGCAGGCTGTTCTCCTTCATTAATATTAAAGACATCGCTTTGGGAAGAACTTTTGGCTAGATACACAAACATAGAAGGGAAGACACCCACAGTTAAGCCCTTTACTTCCATTCCTGGGATTTGCAGGTTTAAAGCTGATCCACAGCCAGGAAAAGCAAGCTGCCACCACTCAGCGCTAGCTCTGAAACATGATCAGAATTGAGGACGAGGGTCTATTAGCTAACCATCCCCGCTCGCTCCCCCCTGCCCGAGCGGCTGCGGGCAGGCATGCCTCCCTCTGCCCAAACCCGATCTTACCTTCTCGATCGCGATCTCCGGGAGAGATCCCTCCGGGGTGGGTATCGCAGTCTCCCCTCGTAGTCTCTGCTGCGAGACCTCTTCCTCTTCCACCTGTGACCCAGGTAGCTCTCCTGCTCCGGGGACCGGTACCTCTTGCAGTGATGCATCTGAGGACACGAGAGGTTCCCGACTCTCAAACCCGCACCCCCGGCGCTTCGCCCGCTCCCTGACGGAGGCGAGGGTCTCCCCGCCCCACCGGAC